ACTGTGATAATGTCTCATACTGGTTTTATATTTTGCTTTTTTTTTTTTTTTAATCTTCTCTAGGGCCATGTTAAACTCTCTGATTTCGGGCTGTGCACCGGACTAAAGAAAGCTCACAGAACAGAATTTTATAGGAACTTGAACCACAGTCTTCCCAGTGACTTCAGTAAGTTACTTGGCTTCAGCAGGGTCTCTGAGAACTTGCTGTCAGGACCCAAGAGAGCTCATTTTGTGGGAGGTTGGAAGGCTCTAGAGGGGGGTTTAATGATCAACATCGCATCACGGGGTGTAATTTTGATTTTCTGTAGATATTATTGATAACAGTGAGCACCCGGTCTCTTGGAACAGTCATTTTCTCAATGGGAAAAACTTTGATGATGGAGTTAAACCACCACTGAAAGCATGGGTCACTAAAGAAAGGGCTTTATCAAATGAAATTAATATTCCATAGGTTTGGAAGTTGCTGATAGGTTGAGGGTGTTGACAGATGTGCTCTTTGTGACCATCTGTGTTGATGGAAGAGGTTCCATCCCTCACTTTGTCACCTGCCACCGGGGACACCCCTCAGACTGGGCTAGGTCAGCTGGGCAAGGCCAGGCTGTGCCAGGTTCAATTAGTTTGTCTTTGCTGATGAGACTTGTCCTTAATGAGATGGATTGAGGTGGGCTTCCATAAACAGCTCCAGCTTCACCATGGGGGACAACTTTAGCTGTAGGAACCAGTGAGGAGCTCCTGGGGACTGGATCCTCTTCCCAGCACAGCTGAACACAAAATGGGCTGTTTGGCCATGGCTACCTTTTTTGAGGTAGTTAAGATTTTTATTGTCATGGTTTGGGGGTAAAAAATGTACGTTGGGTGACCAGGAGGACACAGTCACATATATCCCAATCTCCTTCAGCTTTCCAGAACATGAATTCCAAAAGGAAAGCAGAGACATGGAAGAGAAATAGACGGCAGTTGGTAAGAATGTTTTACCTGCTTGGAAATGTTCCCTGCTGAGCTGGTGAATTCCAATGTATTTAAATGATGGGCATTAAGCCATTTCAGAGCTCTGACCAATGCTGAAATAAAAAAAGATGAATGTTTTTTCTTTTAAAAAGAGGAATGACTCTAGTTTGTCCTTCATCCATCTGCTGAACAGCTGGTGACACATGGGCCTGAGATAGAGCTGCCATAATTATTTACATTAATATCTGATGCCTCCCAGCTAAAAGTAGCAGCTCTTGCCACTTCTGATATAATAAAGGGCTAAAGACCCGTTTCCAAGGTGTATGTAGACAGTGGTACATTTTTCCTGTTTCTCTGACTGTATTTTAAGACTCTTCCACATGAACGTGTTGATTTTTGGCTCTCCATATCTTGAAATAAAGGCTTTAAATAACTTCACTAAAGCATCTTAGAGACAATCTGGTGTCTTCCTCAAAATAACCGTTGTTGCCTAAGTTCCTGCTTCCATATCAGGCACTTTTCTGTAAAAATGTGTAACTGATGGTATTTGTTGCAGGCTTTTTCCACCGTGGGCACTCCAGATTACATCGCCCCCGAGGTTTTCATGCAGACTGGCTACAACAAGCTCTGTGACTGGTGGTCCCTTGGGGTCATCATGTACGAGATGCTGATCGGTAAGAAAGGGGCAGGAATTGGGCTGTAGGACATCAGCTGGGTTCATGTTCTCAGGGCCAGGCTCTCAAACACCCCTTCCTTGCCTGGGCTGTGAGGTTTTGAGTTCTGCTGCACTGTAGACTCGAGGAACTATTTTTTGCTTTCTACAAGATTCTGTTTTTCTTTCTTTTCAGGTTATCCCCCGTTCTGTTCTGAAACTCCTCAAGAAACGTATAAGAAAGTTATGAATTGGAAAGAGACTCTCACATTTCCTCCAGAAGTTCCAATATCTGATAAAGCGAAGGATCTTATTTTAAGGTGCTGACCAGTTAATACAGTACTGATTTTCTTGTCTTGTAAACTCTACCATGGACCTCTCTTAGGCTGATTCACATGGAAAAAGCCCTGATGCTGGTGACCACTCCACACTCTGTTGTGTACGTGCATCAAATGCTGAGCTCCTGTGTCAAATACATTTGTCTCAGAGGTCGTTTAGGGGAGCCCTTGCTGAACTATATTAAAAAGGACCCTCCCATTTTGCTGCTCTGGCAAAACAGGAGTGTCTCTGCTCCTGATCTGCCTGTGAGCTTCCTGTGGAAGCAACTTCATCATTTTTGCCAGAGCTGGTGTCTTAACAACAGCAATGGTTTTGCCATTGTGTGCACTGGAGCGTACAAACGTATCCCAGTGGGTGCTGACTCTCACTCTTTCATTTGTATTTTCAATCCTGTATCTATTCTCAGGACAGAAATATAAAAGTCTAGCTTTTTAGGCTTTATATCTTCTCCTGCTCTACGCTGGTCCTGAAATAGAAAGGGCACATTATCCTGTCAGGCAAGAAAACCACGTCTTAATTGTAGCATTTTGCCATGACATTCCTAAACATAAACTCTGTGTGTTGGATTTGCAGTGGGAGTTCTTGACCTGCTCCATTTATATGTTAAGAAACCCCAGCAGTGTCAGCTCAGAAAGCTGTTCCACTCGTGCATGGAAGGCTTTCGTTTTCATTCTTCCTTCATTTTCATTCTTCCTTCCATCCCAGATTTTGCTGTGAATGGGAGCACAGAATTGGTGCGTCTGGTGTGGAGGAAATAAAGAGTAACCCATTCTTTGAAGGGGTAGATTGGGAGCACATCAGGTAAGATGCTTTGCAGAAAAGCAGGTTGCTCTTCTCTCGGGACCCTCTAAAGTGAGTCCTCTTCAACCCAAGGGAGCTCCTTGACTGGCATTTATTCTATTGAGGTGGGGCTGAGAGTATTTTGTTTGTATCTGAAACTTGCTAAGGTTTAGGTACCTTCAGTCTTTGATTCTCTTAAGAAATGGAAAATGGCTGAATCCTGTTTCCTTCTGCCTTTGAAATCTTAACGCTGAACCTGCTCTTCTTGGCAGAGAGAGACCTGCTGCGATTTCAATAGAAATTAAAAGCATTGATGATACCTCAAACTTTGATGAATTTCCCGAGTCTGATATCCTTAAACCAACAGGTAAATGCTTTGATTCTGCAGGTGAACAACCCTCCTTCTCCAGTAGAATAATGTAACTTCCCTGTTAATCAGAGAGAGGATTTTACCAGTTGATAGGGGTTTTTAAAATCAAATTGCTGGCTGGTAGTCGTGTGGTGCAGGGGGGTAAGAGCTGCAGTTTGGGTTTTGGGAGGTGGGATGCAGGATGTGAATGATGCAGGAGCCGCCTGAGAACAGGCATCTCTGAGGCAACAGCACTCCCAGAAGTTCAAATCTCAGCAGGACCCGTGAGCCCAGTACTGCCAGTACCCCTTGGTACTGGCTAATTCAGAGTATAGGGGTGGGGAGAGGGTGGGATAGAAGGGGAAGAGAAGTTTTGGTGTAAATCTCTGAAGGTTCCTCATATTTATGTGTCAAAGTGTAGTCACACATTTGCTCCACGTGTTTAAAAACCACGTTGCAGCCATTCTTGGCTGGGGTTAAAGAATGAAACCAAATGCCTACATTTACAGAATTCATTCTCCCCTGCTCCACATCTGGTGTTTTGTATGAAAATAACCTTTGCAGTCTTCAAAGGGTAATTTTATTTTTTTTTCTCTGTCTTATCAGTGGCAACGAGCAACCATCCAGAGACTGACTACAAGAACAAGGACTGGGTTTTTATCAATTACACCTACAAGCGTTTCGAAGGCCTGACAGCCCGAGGAGCCATCCCATCCTACATGAAAGCGGGAAAGTGATAAATCTTTCCCTGGGACTTCTTCTGAGCCAGGAAATTCTGTCCCTGGACTGATTTATACCCATAAAAGAACATTTTTTTTTTTCTTTTTTAAAGAAAACTTGAGGGCTATCAACTCTTGGAGAAGAACTTCAGGACCCTGGTTGTAACTAAAGGATTTTTTCTTTCTGCGCCATCGAAAAAATTCCACAAAAATGTTTGCCTCGTCCCTCCTGCCAGCACCTTTTTGCTGCTGCTTCAGGAGCAAGAGTTTTTTGTTTTTCTTTTTAAATTCTTTGCCAGCTTGTACAGTCCATCGGGAGACGAGAGCAATGTTAAGTGACAAACTCAACCTGCCAATTCTGCCAGCGCCGTTCTCCCAGTGGCTGAGGATTTCAGTCCAGAGGAAACGAAGCAATAATTAAAGCTTGATGAGATGATAGACAGCTCTCCAGTAAACCATGTAGTAGAAAGACACGACGTGTATTGCCTTAACCTTAGGTTGTAGTGCTGGTTTTTTTATAATGCTATTTGGAAGCCTCTTTAATAGTGTTTCTCAACTCTGTCGCCGTGGCCTCCAGTCGCCGTGCACTTTACTTTTGGTACTAAGACAGTGACCCTCAAGCCATTTAATATATATATTTTTTTTTTCTGAATTAAAAAAAAATTGTGCAACACCACTTTCTTTTCCTTTCCTAGCCAGCCATAGGAGAAACGGGGCCACTTCCTCCCCCAAACGCCAAGTTTTTAGTTAGAGTGTGAAAAGATGAAATATAAAAGAAGGCAGGTAAGAAAAAGTCCAGGTGGTAACACCAGTGAATCTGGAATTAGGGCAGAGAAGGGGGGAAATTAATTAACCTGATCCTCGTTAGGGTCAGCCCTGGGGCTTCCCGGTCCTGCTGCTGCTGCCACCTTTTGGCCACTTTTTGAAGATCTGCTGCGTTTCCAGTTTGAAGATGAAACCAGCTCCTGAGGCCTTTTTGCTCCTGGTTTTGAGGAGATCTGCATCAGATTCTCCTGAGGGTTGATGCTGGAGCCCTCCCTGGCTTTTCCTTCCAGAGCTGAGCCATGTGTCCCCGTGGTCTTCCTAAAAGACGGTGCCTCAGGAGGTCACTTTTGGGGTGGTAGAACCCACCGCAGGCCACTCTGTGATTATTGCTTGGTGTAATTAATAGAAGTCCATTCAATGATGATCCAGGAGAGCCCCAAAGTGCCTTTCCCTGCCCGGGCATCTCTCAGAATGTGACTGTGTTTTTTGGGAAGGAGGATTCTGCCTCATTTGAGCTTTTGGTAATTCTTTTTTATATAATCATGAGCTCTACTTTGCACCCGTTTTGTAGTGACCTCTGCGCTGCCAGGGGCAGGTGGCATCAACCTTTGGGCCTGCCAGGTTCCACTCTTTAATTTGTAATTAATTTTTTAAAAAAATATAAATTTAATGAGGTTTCTAAAAGCATGTATCAATTGGAATTGTCTTGGATTCTTGCAAACTTTTATTGGTGCTGAACACTAATGACTTACCACAGACAGGAAAAAAGAACAAAAGCTCTTTAGAAACAAAACTCGAGCCGTGTTTCAAAGCAAAAGGAAGGCTTTTAGGCTTTCAGATATATTTAGTCCTAACTTTCTAGAATAGGAAATGAAAGAAAAAGAGTTTGTAGTGAAACTTTTTTTTTTTTAATAGGTGCTTTTTTGTAGGGAATTTTTACCTTTTGAACTGAGTGCCATCACGGGGGACTGAGAGTAATATATAGAGCTAAAGCTGGGTGAGAACTCGTTACCATCCCTCTCCCTCACCAGCCCTGGGGCTTTTTGGACGTGTTTAGGAATTTAGTGAATTGCCAGAAGCAGTTTAGATACCAGTTGGATCCCATAAAGCCAAAATGCAAAAATAGCCTTAATTAGAAGTACCAGGATCACTGTAGTCAGTAGGGCTTACTCAGATAAGGGCTAACTGAAGGAATCATTTATAGGATCAGGCTTTTTATCAACTAGTCAGGAATAACACCTTCTGCTCCCTTTTTTGTTTTTACAAAGGACTGATAACCAACTTCTCAAATTGCTCCATCTCCTCCTCCTGCAGTTTTTCTTCTAACCATTTGAAAATGTTGCCTTATAAACCACGGGGAAACAAAGAGGTATTAACTTCAAAACCTTTTTAAAAATTCCTAACAGCTTAGATACTGCCTTAAAAACTAAAAACAATAATAAAAAATCCTGCAAAGCTGCGGTGGATTAGGAATAAATGCTTTTGAGTAGCTGCATTATTATCCCTTTACTAAAAGGGACTGGCATTTTTATTTATAAATACCAAAGATGAAAAAGCTACACAAATAGACGTTGTGATAACTTGCTGTGAAAAAACCCTACGGAGTAATATGTATTGTGAGTTTTTAGTGCATGTGTCTTAAAGTCTTCTGAGACCTCAGATTGTTCACTTTTGGAGTTAAAAGTGAAGTTTTTTCAGAGGCACAAGGAGCAGTTGGGTACCTCACTCCTCTTGTTTTTCAGTAGAAGTTGGATGTCTTTGAGCGTAGTCCTCACCTTCCCAGCTGGGGGTTGTGTGTGTGACAGCTCCATCCTGAGCCTGTTTCCTCTTACACCTCTTTACCAACAATGTTTTACCAACAAAAAATACAGCATTTTCTTTCCAGGATCCATCCTTCACTGCAAACATCAAGATTTTTGTACACCTGTTCCATCTCCCACGTTAGCCAAACATTTTTCTTAGCTGCTGGCTTGTGTATTGAGGTTAGAAGTATCTTTTAGCTCTTTTTTTTTTTTTTTCCAAGCTGCAAGCAGTTGCTGGACTTCTAAGAGTCATTCCCATCTGGATTTCCAATGGATCTGAACGTGAGTTATGCTGCCAGTTCATCCCTGTATCCCACCTAGCACAAATCTGCACTAAGTGTTTCTTATCACTGTGCCCTGACTCTGCCTTAACCTGTACGTTGAAAAAGTGTTCTGTAAATATTTCAAAGCTGTTACTAAATTGCACTGTAAAAAAAAAAAAATTGGCAAGTGTATTGTGTGTTGCTGGGGGGAGCCAACTTTTTATGGAACGATCTTTACATTGTGTTGTGTAAATAAAATCCTCTTAGGAAACACTTTTGCCAGCATGTTTTGTTATTACAAACTGGAATCTCTCAGGGTTGGGTGTTTGTTTTTTTTTTTTCCCCCAGACTTTAGAATTTAGATTTTGGAATCAAGGGCTTGGGTAGGAGAATGCAATGGTAACTCCTGGGTTGAAAACTGCATTTCCAAAAGATGCAGAGCAGACATGAAGAAATGAGCATCATTAATGATGAAAGATAGTGGTGATACTCAGAAAAATGAAGCTTTTCTGGGCAGAATGTACCTGGCAGGGATGGACAACCCCGAGGTTTCTGCCCTGTGTAAATGTCACTTCAGCTTACCAACTCCAGGGCAAGTTGTTTTTAATCTTTTCCTCTTTCTATTTTTAAAAGGGATAATAAGCAGTGAGCGAGTGGCGTTGGAAGCAAAGCTCTGCCCCTTCATTTTCTTTTTCTACCAGTTTGTGCCATGCCAAAATCAACTTGCAGTTCTTATTTAATTGCTTCACTTTTGTGACAGCTCCACTTGTGAGTACGAGTTCCTGTTACCACCTCAGTAATTGCAGTAAATTCCAGCATTGTTCCAAACTCTTAATGCCTTTCTCAAGCTTCATGGAGAAAACCTTTGAAATCCATCCAACACTGGAGATGGAAATAAAAGCCAGACCTGCTCCAAAGCTGTTTTCTTCCAAAGACAGAAGCGGGTAGAGGCGGAGAGAGCGTCTTTCACAGCAAACTAACCAAAAATAGCAGGAGGGCCTGGTGGAGATGCTGCATAGCTTGGGGGTCAAACAGTGTTGTCTCATACCTGGGCTATGTGCTGCTTTTAGAACATCACAGCATCCAGATGGTGAACGTTGAGGTCCTCTCTGTGGGGCTGCTTCACCAGGTCCCTCCCAAATCAACCAGGTTCTATTTCTAAATCTTCTTTATGAAGCCAGGAGAAAGTCTTCTAGCAATCCAGCCCCTGCCCATTCTTCTACTCCACGTTTAAAAATGTTTTTAAAGGAGCCAAACCATTCATGTATAATTTATACTTTAATACAGAAAAGAACCCATACATCTGTAGTTCATACACACACCGGGTAACACTTCGGTATATTCTAGAGTAAGACAAAACTTCATCTTGTACCTCAACAGTAGGTGACAATGACAGGAGGAGGAAAAGCAAATACATACTTCTTCGATTTGATGTAGTGTTCTAATGGAACTTACTTACTCTACTAAACAAAATAATCCCAATTCATCTTGAACTACTTGGGAAAGCCAATAAAGTACTGTGGCTTTTTTGGAGTGATAAAAACTGCATGGAACTCATGGAAAGCAGATACCTCCATCCCATGGCGAAGGTCCAGATGATGACACAGGGTATCAACAACCTCCTCCAAGGCATTGGACAGTCTCTACCCCTCGGGCAGTGGCCGGTCGCAGTGAAGTGCCCGGGGTCACCATTTCTAATGAACTGGCTAAATCCTTCAAGAGGCTGAGGTAACACTGGGCTCAGGGACAGACTCTGGTGGGATTTGTTCTGGCTGAAGGTGGTGCTCTGCTGTCAAATCCCCAAAAGTGCCATCAATCCAAGCTGGACGGGGCTTTGAGCAACCTGGTGTGGTGGGAGGTGTCCCTGCCCAGGGCAGGGGGTGGCACTGGGGGGGCTTTAAGGTCCCTTCCAACACAAACCACTTTGTGATTCATGTAAGATGTTGGGTATCTGATGCCTGGACACAGCCCTGTAGGGTCACACTCAACAACCTGCACCTTCAAGTCCTCAGAGCAGAACACGAGTAGACTCCGATTCCAAGTCAGCTGGTCAATACCAACACACATTTACTTAAAACTTAACATTGCTGTAAAAATAAATACACACACACAAATAATCCATGGGGCCGGGGGGGCGAGTTCCATCACTGCTGGGGGGGGACAGTCTCACCAGCACCTTTGCTTGACTTGGGGGATGGCAACGGCTCGTTACCAAGGGAGGGAATGGGTTTGGTCTGGCCCTTTGCTGGCAGGTTAATGGTCCATATTGTCTTCCTTTCTCTACTACAAAAATAGAAATTCCTCTAGAGCAATAATGGGAAGGGATTGCACACACCACCTCTGTGCAGATACTGAAGGACACTTCTCTAAACTGATCCAACGACACGCAGGGAGGGATTTTTCAAAAGGGATCAGGTGGAGCTGGGCATCTGAACCCCGGGACTCGCGGCATGTCCTGAAGCACTTTTGGAAATCCTCCCAGAGGCACTTATAAAAAGAAGAAATCTATTTGCTGCGCTTAGGAAAGAAGCTAAGAACAGAAACACTGCAAATAACGGAACCTGCTTCCATACAAATGGGAACTAAATCTATCAGGACAGATTTAGATCTATTTTAGCAGAGATTTTGTTACTCTTCACTAAAACGACACTTACAAACCTTCAGGAAGATTTGGGATTGATTGATATCGTCACGTTACTCACACTGAGCAAACCCCTCCTGATTAGCAGCAAAACAGTAACAGCAATCTTCAATGCTAAATCTACCACACACTTTGCAGACAGAGAGAGAATAATAAAGATCTGCTTGATGACACAACCCTGACAACAAAGGATTAAACCTTCTAGGAGCAGACTGAAGCCCACCTCTATTTTCCTACATATAACCAGGTAACTCAATGCCTACGTGTTCCAGGTTTCAACAGCAAGAGGAGAACTGACCTGAACTTAACTTTGCAAAGGAGCTCCCTCCCTCCATTTCTTTTTGAATGGATTTCAGCTTTTCTTTGCACCAGCACCACATTTAAGTAACTCACTTTGGGTACGTAAAACCTCTACATCAGAAACAGGAGGTTAAGGAAGCCCAAGGGTAACTCCACACTGCAGGAACTGGACCAGTTTACAACAAACCCAGCTAAACCAGCCTGGAGTGTGTCTGTATTTACAGTCACAGCTCTGTTGGCCCCGAATCCAAACGGAGCAGAGCCTTAACCACAGACTAGGATGACATATTCCAAGCAGCAAAGGAGAGCTGTTCCCAGGTACCTATATTTTTCACTACTGAAGGCTGGTCTATTATTGGCATTTCTTACCTGCCTGATAGCAAACTGGTCCAGTCAGTTCCAAATTGGGAAGAAAACGGCTGACTTTTTAAAGCTGCAACAGTTGCTCTTTGGAGAGTCTACAGGAATTTTGACTGACCAAGGCTGATGAGACCAAGGAAGGGTTTTACTCAGGTAGTAAACTGTCTGTACTGGGAGTTCCTCCACTGGCTTTTTGTCTTAGCAGGGGGATGGAGACAACTGGAAGTCTTTGGCATGCACAGTCACCTCTAGAAAGCTGCTTACATCTATTAGGCTACTAAACAGATTTACTTTGTTGGTAAAATATCAACTAGAGACTCTTCTGGTTTGCTTTTTCCTTCCACACGATCTACTGGTTTGACTGAACTTAACAGACAACATCCCTAAAACCAGTGATGCCACCTCATGGAGAAGTATGGATGGAAAATTCCTGTGAACAGGTAGATGCTTCCTACTGAACTAATTCCTCCTTCCCCAGAAAAGCTGCACAATGTGCTGGATGCTCAGCCCGCTGCCAGCTTAAGCAGATTCCTCCACACTCCTGGTTTTGCTGTCACAACTGTGCTACATTTCTGCTGGTTGATAAAAGAGTCATGGATCATCTGTCCCGCTTTGATGTTGCGTCCTTTGTAACCGATTATCAGGAAAGCAAAGCTAAGTGCCTAATGGTGAAGGAAAGCTTTGTCTTGACAGGCCCAGAATTTCCTCTCTCGTGTCAAACAAGACGTTTCTAAATACTGCCGTTCCTCTTTTGAGAAGTTTAGGTAAAATATTCAGCACCCACCAGTCTGGAAGCCTTTGTAGTAGAAACAAACAGCATCATTTTTCTTTCTGTTTGAGGAGACGTTGCTTTTGATTGCACAATTAGACTATGCAGTGTGGCTCTTTATTAACATGCTTGAAATATGACAACGTACTAAGAAGAGAAAGCACCTTGGCAGCATCCCCTGGGATGAAACTACGCCGAGACGTGTTCCCACATCAAGCAGGACTTTCCACCCTGAGCCACCACTAATCGGGTAGATCGTTAACAGCCATCTGGGAAAAGGGTGCGTTGAGCCTGTCCAGTTCATCTACTTGGGGGGGGTGGTGCATTATAACCTCGTGGTCCTCTGAAACGTCATCGCCCACCGTGACCAGGTTGGTTAGAGATTTGCTCCGAACGCACTGGAAATCAACGTGACGGCTTTTTCCTTCTTCCTTCTCCCAGGACATCTGGATGAAGGGGCGTTGGACGTAGTTGTAGATCACCTCTGAGCGGCCACCAGGTCTCCTCTTCACCTTCTCCTTACAGGTGGGGTACCCTGAAAGCACAGCCAGCCGGTCAGTCGCACGACACACGAGGGATTTGGGCAAAGGGACAAGAGGATCCCAGAAAAACAACCAGGCAGGAGCCATTATG